ACTAAGTCATCAGCGAAAGCTTGGAGTTTATACTTTTCATTTCTAATTTCCATTCCTTTTATTTCTATATCTTGTCTTATGTTCCTCGTCAATACCTCTAATGTTAAAATGAATAATAATGGGGAGAGGGGACAACATTGCCTTGTTCCTTTTTGTATACTAAAGCTTTGTTACTTCTCCATTAACCAATACTTTTGCGTTCTGTTGAGTGTAAATTTCTTTAATCGTATTCCTAAATTTTCCACCACATTCCATAAAATTTAATTGTTGCAACATAAATTGCCAGTTTATATTGTCAAACGCTTTCTACGCATCCAGGAATATTAACGCTAGTTGCTTTCATAATGTATTTTGTAATATTCTAGTACATCCATGATTATTCTAACATTATTTTTGATTTGTCTTTTGGGTAAAAACCTGTTCTGATCTGGATGAATGAAATCATTTAAAAAGCTTTTTAATCTTTCCGCAATTATTGATGCGAAGATTTTATAGTCTGCATTTAGTAACGAAATCAGTCTGTAGTTTTTAATTTGAGTTATATCTGAATCTTCTTTGGGGAATCAAGCCTCTTTCCATGTGTTCAGAATTTTAGCTTCCATTAACACTTCTGTTAACACTATATTGTATACTTCTAGCATTGACAGACTCAGGGTGTCTTCTAATTCTTTATATATTTCTACTGGTAGACCATCTGGTCCCGGGGTTTTATTGTTTTTTTGTTTTTTTGATTTTGTTCATTAACTCTGCCATTGTTATTCTTTCCTCCAGCCTATTCTTAATCATTTCTGAAATTTTCAGCAAATTGGCTTTCTCCAGATATTGTATTAGTCTCTCCTCTTCTATTTTATCAGCTTTGTATAATTTCTCATAAAAATCATGAACTATATGTCTTTTCTTTTCAAATTGGCTATGTAATATGCCTTCCTCATCCTATAGTTTTATTATCTAATTCTTCTTTTTTTTCTTTCTTCAATCTATAGGCTAACCACCTTCCTGGTTTATTGGCATTTTCAAAGAAATTTTGTTTTGTTCTTTTTATTTGTTGTGCCAGTTCCTCCTTTCCTATAAGATTTAGTTTGTGATTAATCAGCTCCATTCTATTTCTTAAATCTATTCTTTGTGGCTCTTTTTGTGATTTTAATTCAAGTTCTTTATATTCTTCTTCTAGGGTCTTTTGATTTTGTTTCTTTTTCTTCTTTTTCTTCTTTTTGCCATATAGTTTATAGCTAATCCTCTTATAACTGCTTTGGCAGTATCCCACACATTCTGTAACATAGTCTCTTCCTTTCTATTTTCTTTAAAAAAGAACCCCAATTCTCTTTCCATCATCTGAATGAATTTCTTCTCTTTTATTATCGATTGGTTTAAAGTCCACCTTGTTCTCTTCCTTTGACCCTTTCAACTAATTTTTATTGGGTTATGGTCTGCCCATAAATTTGGTTCAATTTTAATCTCTTGTACATTTTCACATAATTCTGAATTCATCCAAATCATATATATTCTAGACCATGATTTATGCATATTGGAATAGAATGTATATTGTTTTTCCCCTGGATTCATTTCTCTCCATGTGTTTAGAATAGATAATTCTTCTATCATTTTAATCAATGTTTCTGGTAAAGTCCTTCTATTTTTTTATTAATTTTACTACTTCTGTAGTCCATTTCATTACTGACAATTGTGTTGAAATCTCCCAAGATACAAATATTTTCATATTTTATTTCTAAAATATTTTTATGAAGTTGCTTATAAAACTTCTCTTGCCAGTATTTTGTGCATAAATAACAACTGTAAGGGTTTGCTTTTGATACAGAGTCACCTCCAACATCAAAATTCTCCCTAAAGAAGGGACTTTTTGCCATCTATGGTGGACATGTGATAAAGCAAAAAAATAAATAAAATTGGAATAGGATTCATATTTTAATACAGAAAATTTTGAAAATGAGATAAAGATGAAACCAGAATATTTCCTTTTGGGTCTAATGGAAAAAGACCTGGAAATTTTTTTGGGGAACATTGTTACTATATATATATTGACAGCAGCAAGACTATTGTATGCACAAAAAGGGAAGGACACTTCAATTCCTAACATGGAGTAATGCTTGCAGAAGTTGATGGAGTTGGCCGAAATGGCAAAATTGACTGTTTTGATTAAAGAAAAGAATATAAGTAATTTTATTTCTACATGGAGACTGCTTCTGAACTTGTGCTTGAAGTGGAAAAGAATGAAACTTTGATTTTGAGTTTTACCAATTAGATTGATAGATCTTTATAGAAATGGCTTGTTCATATTATTATGAAAAAAGAAAAAGTTGTGATTTGATGTTAATGCCTTATTTTACTGCAATAGACAGTTGGAAGTCAATGTTTGTTTTTCTTTTTTTCTTATCCTCCCTCACTTCTCTTCCCCCTCTTCTTCCCCACCATTTTCCTATTTACTTTCCTATTTTGTATCTTATTTTATTTTATAACCTAATAAAAATGTTAAACTATGAGAAATACTAGATGAATGAGATTGCCTAAATCTGCTGTACTAATTTTTAATTTTACATATGTCACAGCCATGTTCAAATGCATAATATGAAAATGCTTCTCAAGTATGTCAGAATTTGTTGCAGCACACACAAGTAGACTATTTTTTTTTTTTAATTTGATTTATATGCCGTCCTTCTCCGGAGACTCAGGGCAGCTTACAATGCATTAAGCAATAGGCAATATTATTAAGCAGGATTCAAAAAGTCTTTATATACATAACAACACACACGGCATACAATACCCTTGTAGGTTTTTCCACATTGTAGAGAAAGAAATAGCAAGTAGAAACACAGCACAAAATGGAGAAGGCAAAATGGAAAAGGGAGAAGCTAGTGCCTTCAAGTTTATATACAGAACAGTTAAGCCACGCCCAGGCTCCAAACTGTCTCTTATGGCCCCATACAACAAATACTATGTTTCAGTTACCAAACAGTCCCCCATTGGCTGACCTGTTGCTATGCCCTATTCCAGTTCATGAATATACTGACAATGTATTATAACAAAGAAGACTATCTACTTTTTAAAACAAATAAGAATTTCTTTCTATGTAACTTTTCATTTTAAGAACTATTAATCTTCACCACTTTTTCAAGCACCTTATCAAACAAATGCTGATTATTAAAAACGTCAAGTTTAGTATTTCTCTAAGAAGAAGCAGTAGCCACATTAGAGCTTATATAAAGATAGTGGAGATACTTCCATATTCAATAATGGGCCAACATGGGAAATATTTTCCTCCAATAAACTATACTGGTCAACTGTCAAAAGAGCATCTTTCTATAAGAGTCATCAATACCTTCTCATTGCAGTTTCTTATACACTTCTGTAATATTATTTTGTACCTCAGTAGAATTAAAACCTAACATTACCTAAATATAAACATTCTTTTTTTTATAAATGCATGAGTCTGTAGAGATTCTCAGTCATCCAGGTCATGGTTGTCCCAAAGCAGGGGTGAAATGCTCCCGGCTCGGACCGGATCACCCGATCCGGTAGCGATGGAGGCGGGTGGTTCAGAGAACCGGTAGCAAAAATCCCTGCCCCCCCCCCATGCCCAGCTGAGCTGCACAACCATCAGAGACTTTTTTTTTACTTTTAAAAGTATTTTTTCTACAACCTCTTTGGTCAAAAAATGCTTTTAAAAGTAAAAAAAAAAAAAGCCTCTGATGATCGTGCGGCTCAGCTGGGATCATCAAAAGCTTTTAAAAGAAAAAAAACCCTTTTTTTCTTTTAAATGCCTCTGACGATCCCAGCTGAGTTAAAGCCTCTGCTGATCAGGCAACTGAGCTGGGATCGTCAGAGCCTTTTGAAAGCATTTTTTACAACCTCTTTGCCGAAGAGGTTGTAGAAAAAATGGTTTTAAAAGTGAAAAAAAAATTGGCCACGCCCACCCAATCACATTACCCCTCCACCAAACCATGCCCACAGAACCAGTAGTAACAAATTTTAGACTTCACCACTGTCCCAAAGGTGCTTTTTCACATGTAGGTTGTCTGCAAGGAATATAAAAAAGCACCTTTGGGACAACCATGACCTGGATGACTGAGAATCTCTACAGACATTTAGCTATACAATTTGGGATGAACACCCTTTGAATGGTGTGGGAGTAGGAATGGATTTCCAGGGGGAAAAAATTGCAGACTACAGGAACCAGAAGCACTACTCAGGTGACCCCGAGATAAACCTCCAAGTGCTTCAACGATTCTCTAAAAGGATGCAAATTATCAGCTGTCTACAAGGAATATAAATCCTTCCATTTCCCACTATCCTGTCAGAGCTGAAGAAGCTTCTTGGATGAGAAGTGAAATGTCTTCAAAGAAAAAACAAGAAAGTCCAGTTGCCTCCTGAAAAAGCACCTTTGGGACTTATAAACGCATGGTTTTTGAAATCCCAACTTCAGCCAATGTCACTTTAAAAATTCTGTTGAGAGAGGCTACTTGAAAATGTAAATTGAACAAAATAAACTTTATGTTTACATTTCTAAGTAGTAATCATAATTAGGTATTTTAGGACTGATGAATTGTCCTACATCTGGAGTGCAACAAACACTATTTTGAATAGCTACAAATTTCAGCAGAGCATTGAAGAATCTTTTGGATTCCATGAGGATCTATTCTAACAGACGTTTAAAAACTTACAGAATTAGTAGTCAAGTGATACAAACTTGCTCCAAATATTTATGACAAAATACAATTCTGGGTTACACTGGGAAGAATGGAAGAAAATAACAGTCTGGGAATTAATTCTTATACGATAAGAAGAAAGAATGGAAGGGAAGATAATTTTGTTTGAAATAAAATTAAATTCTAAAAAATCTTGGCAATATATTTTAAAGAAATGCTAACTAACAAAAAATAAATAGATTACTTGATCAACTTTTTCAAATAAGCTACAAATAATGTATAATTGAAACTTAAAAGTAGAATTGGAGACAAATCAAACAATTCTATTTGATATACTACCTTTAATTCTTCAACAGCTTTCTGCAGTTCATCTGGTGTTTTGTATTCAAAATCCCTCTGCAGATATTCATCTTCTGCTTGTGTAATCCACTCATGCATTTCTGACAAATCCTTTCGTAGACTTACAATCTTATCCAAACTATTCTTCAATGCTGCTTTCTTATCATAGGCCTTGCATCAATAATAATAAAAAAGAGTTATTTTTTCTCTCAAAAAAGAGATAAAACTCTACTTTGGAACCCAATGAATAACTGGAGTATGAGTCTTACAGTTAAAATAAATTAAAAATCCTGAAATGTTTAGAACACATTTATATTTCAAATATTGTCATATGTATACATAAACTCTTGACAAGTTTCTGGAAGAAAAATGCATATAAGAGTAACAAGTTACTTTGTTACACAAAAGAAAATATAAACTCTTCTTCTAGCCTATTTCTATGCCTACATAGTAGAAAAAGGTATGGAATATTCAAGAACCCATGTTCTGCATTCATTTCTTATTTTGTTTGAGAATATCATTTCCATATATTTATAAATGATGCCACAAAGATGACAGGTAAATGCAGTCACATTGTGGAAAAACTATGAATTGTGTCTTTTCATATAGTACAACATATAGTAGACATTATTTCTCCAGTCTGTAATTTCTAATTAAACAATATTAAAATATCTAAAAGTTTACTATCAAATTTTATGCCGTAGCATTGCCTATTCCAGATTAATTTTGTTTTCATTTACTATTACTCTTTTGAGAAAATAAAGCTTTTCTCAGAGAGATACATAAAAAATTAATATGCTATAATTTGGAGCTCCAAATTATTTATAACTGAAGTTTTAGTTCTAGATGGATAACAGAATTATAATGGCACATATGTTAGTTTTCTATACTTATAACATTAAAATATTTTGAGCTAAGTGAAAGCTAATGGAGATATAAAAATTAATTATTTCTTGCTATATATTATTATTCAAAATGTTTTATGTATATCAGTATTTTCCAACCTCTGGTCTTTCAAAGTGTTGTACTCTGGAAGGAATTATTTAATTATTTGTTTATCACATTTATCTATTTAGCATGCATTTATATACAGTAGAGTTATTAAAGATTTATTATTCTGAATGATATATTCTGACTCTAGTTTTCACATTTGTGTACCAAGCAGAGAAAATTATATTAAATAGCACTCTGGAATTTAAATAAATTAATGCTACATATCCTAATAGAATACCTGTTGGCAAATATTATCCCATTCAGCATTCAGTGCTTTAAGATCATTCTGTAATTTCAAAGAAAACTCTGACTCTGCTTCCTTCTTCATTTTTTGTCCAATCTCATTAACACTATTTAAATTGGGCTGGATTGTCTGGATGTCATTCACCAAAGCCTGATAGGGAAAATATATCAATGTATAACAAATCTCCAGGATGTCTGATATGTGACATGATTCAATAAATAAAACATAAAATGTGTATGGCATATTGAATAATTATATAAACAGAAATGCAATATATAAATTTAATGAAAAATTGAAAATGGATATATTAATACATACTTTTTCTGAATTGTCCACACAAACTGACAATTTTAAGTACAATTTCACTACAATTCTACTATATAGAAACCCATAATTTAAAGAAAAGTACTCAATTTTATTGCTTGTATATGCAATTTTAACCATATATCTTGAAAAAAAAACAAAAAACATACTGAGATTAAGATCATTTAAAATAGTGATAAAAATGAAAAAAAAAAACCGTGTACAATAATCCAGTAGAAGCCATAGCTGCACAGATATCTCCAGTGGTGGGCTGCAACCGTTTTAACAACCGGTTCTGATGCGCTTGCGCACAGCGATCAAAATATAGCAATTTTAAGCTCAGCTGCTTACCTTCTAAGGCAGCCCCAGTAAGTAGAACAGCGGAGGCGTGGAAATCAGCTGAGCCAGAAAGTAGGAAATATAGGACAGGATAGGGCAGGGGTGGGTGAGTGGGGCCAGATGATCATCGGAACTACCAGTTTGCCCAAACTAGTCTGAACCAGCTGAATCCCACCCCTGGATATCTCACATACTTTTCCTAAACAGACATATAAACCTACATATACAAAATGAAAGTAACTGTATTTGTACAACAGTTATGCTCATAATATTTACATCCATGAAATAGAGCATAAAATGGAAACTTACTGTACACTGTTCTAATTGTTTCTCTAGTGTTTCTGAATTTCCAAGTGCTGGCCAGTCTTCATTTAGAAAAATATCCACTTCAGCCATCCATTTTTTCAGGGTTTTTGTGTCATTCTGGTTTTGAAAAGAGAGCATTGCACTGCATGAAAGTATGCCATTGTGACTAAATCAGAGGATAATTTCAAAAATATATCAAAAATATCTTTAAAAATAATAAAAATAAAAATAAAAGAAATATATTAATCAAGTATATAAGTGTCGTATCAAAAAATAACTTCTTACTTAGTTTTTAAAATAAACTTCAGTGTATGTGTCTAAGCAAATAAAAACACACAGACACACATGTAATATATTATAGTTTATCAATAGCATAGCAACCTTCAAAAGTATTTTAGTAAACTTGCTTTTTTGCCATTCTACAAATTAGGCAAATAAAAACAAGAAAACACTCATTTTGCCTCAGACTGAAGTCTCTTGGCAATATTATCTAATAAAATTTAGTCCACAAAAAACAACTTCAACCAACCTGGAACTGCTTCAACTTTGTTATCTGTTCCTCAAGTTTCTGACAATTTTCCACCAGCTGAGTTGATAACTTCTTCCAACGATTAAGGATTACCTCAATTTCTGACCAGTACTGCTGACTGACCCCTGCAGGAGCTCTCTTAGACATCTCTTGTACAGTTGTGCTTAAATAATTGATTCCATTTTGCTGTTCTTGCAGAGAACTTTGTAAGCCCTGTGATATGTGAAATTATCAGTTTCTAGCTTTTATCAACTCAGATTGAGAATGATCTTACAGGATCTAGCACTCAAGAGTGTATGTTTGAAATAACATTTATAAATAACTCACTGCTTTTACATTACATCTCAGTGTTGACATGCAACACAGTATTTCTCTGTTTACCTTTAGCTCCCTGAGCCTTTTCTCCATCGTTTCTAAATCTGTGACAGTAACTTGTGGGATGGAGAGCTTTGTTTCTGATTGTTGTATCCACAAGAGAACTGTGTTCATAATTTCTTTATACCGTACAGATGGCAAAATATCAAAAGCTGCAAAAGAGGTGAGAAAAGCAAAGAAATCCTGCTTTATTTAATTCAGCAATTCTATTCTATTTGAATAAAAACAAATTAACACCCCTCTTTTAAGAGATGTACAATGAACAATACAGGGGTGGGTTCTAAATTTTTTTACTGCCGGTTCTGTGGGCATGGCTTATTTTGTGGGGGTGGCTTGGAGGTCATGTGACTAGGTGGGCGTGGCTAGCTAGTCATGTGACCTGGTGGCCATGACTATGTGTATAGGGACTACTCAGAGGACTGAAAAAAGTCATTTCTGACCGGTCCTTGCACTTTTGACTGGTCCTCAAACTTATGACCATCCTCACATTTATGCCCGTGCAGCATTCTTTTTTTTTTATTGAAAAAGTTTTTCAAATACAAATTTTCCCCCCTTTCCCCCCTCCTCCCTAACCCCCTCCCCCTCCCCTCCCCCTGTGACTTCTTCATAATAAAACCCAAATTCATAACAGATTATATAATACTTTACCATCCCCTCACTCCATCCCCATATGCTGACCCTTTCTTTCTAATAAGATTATCATATCCCCCTTATACTATACATTTCAAAATGACATTCTACAATAACATTATATAATAACTCCTAATTTAGCATAATAATAAGTCAATTCTTTTATGTATATTAATCTAACATTTCAAAACAACCTTCCACTATAAAACTATATAATAAATCTTAATTTAACATTTATTCAGTTTTAAACTAAACAATCAATAAACTAACCTGTCTCCACCCACTTTCCTACAAGACTACCATACTTAATAATTCTTAATATCTTTATTCTTCTGCCCACTCCACTAAAAAATATTCCCTTATGTAAATAAAATCCTCTTAAAAAGACTTTAAGCTTGTAATCCATATAATATCTTCTGTAATGTCTTTCAGATGGATTATAAACTCCATCACCCATGTTAGGGTAACATCACATCCTAATTCCAACAGTATATTCGGTATCTTCAATTACCATCTGCCCCCATCAATAGCAAATATCTTCATAATAATAATAAAAAAACCACAACAACCACCCGAGTGACTTTATATTTGTATTCCATATGGTGTCTGTAGAGGTGTCTTTTATCCAAATTATTAATTCCAACCACTGTAATAGGGTAACAACCAGATCTTCTGTGTGCCCCAATCCCATAACTCTCTTGCCTTGTAACTCTGCATAAACGTAGTATATTTATCAAAGAATCCAAAAAAAGATAGTTCCAATCCATTCAGTTTAAGGCCCTTTTCACATCCCAAAAGTACTGCACTGCAGAGGTCTGTCACTCTCCTCAGGATAATATAAACCAATACTTTGCCGATTATCTTTTCATATATTCAATCATCTCTTAAATAACTGGCATTACACTGTTGTTTAGTTTAAAAGTTTTTGTTTTTGTGAGACCTGCTTCTTCTTTTCTTGACTTTTTGTGGGTTGGATCTCCATCCTGAATTCCTTTCTGTAAATTGTATATCAACTATTTGGCTTTCATGCTGATCTATAACTTGATCTTGTTGGTTTTGCTTTTGTGGCTTAAATCTCCATTCTGGTTCTATAAATTGTTTATCATCTGATTGATTTCCATGCTGGTTTGTGACTTGATAAGTCGTTACATTAGAATCCAGAGCCGCCTCTCTTGTATTAAATAGTCCAGCTGAGACCTCTGAAGGAGAATCCAAAAGCAGCTCATCTGTAGAGACCTCTGTAACTTGTTGTTTCTTCATTACTTCCACCTCTTTCTGCTTTTCTTGAGTTTCTATCTCTTGTTGATTTTGCTTTTTGAGGACCTTGTAGTAAAATTCTTCCGCTTTTTCAACAGTATTTAGCTGATATCTTTCTCCTTGATATCTCAATATTATACCAACTGGAACATCCCACCTGAATGAAATATTTTGTTTTTTTAGCTCAGTCACCAAAAGTCCAAATTTCTTTCTATCTTTTAACATCTTAGGCAGCAATTCTTTATATATCCAGATCTTTCTTCCATACAATTGTGGAGTAGAATTAAAGGATTTTTGCACAATATCATTTCTTATTTCTTTATCTGTGAAGTAAATCACCACATCTCTAGGCAGTTGCCTTTGCTTTGCAATCCAAGAATTTACTCTATAGGCCTTGTCAATCTTACAAGATACCTCCTCAGGATGAACCTTTAAAATCCCAGGAAGAACTTGAGCAGATATTTTTCTTAGATCATCTCTATTATTTTCCTGTAATCCTCTCATTCTGACCGCAAATTCTGTGAGCCTGTATTGCATCATTACAACTTCTTTTTCAATCCCTTGCTTTATATCTTCTGCATTGTAAGTCTCGTGACCAGCTTCCTTTTTAGACTTTATTTCTAAACTATTGTCTTGAATATTTATCAAATCATTTTCAATTCTTTGTATTTTATTGTCCAAATTATAAATCTTATCATCAACTTCCTCAATTTTAGACTCTAATAATTTGATATTTGTATCCATCTTTATGACAACTTCTGAAAAAGCATTAGTCACTGTTACAATCTTTCGTTGCAGATTATCATACTTTAGTTGTATCATTTTTTTAATTTCCTGCCTTAATTTTTCAAATTTCTGGTTCACAGTCTCATGATATTTTGCCATTTCCTCCTGAAGAAATTCTTTTAAATTAAAACCATTCTGCAGAGTCTGTAGGCTCAGAGCTTGTTCAGATAATTGTGGGTGGGGGAGCAACCCCCTCCACTGCTTGTTTGTCAAGCTTTATTAGTTTTAACGCCATCCTGCCACACAAAAAAGCTCTTTTTTTTTTTAAGAAAACTTTTCCCCAAACAAGATCAAATACAGATCTCCAAGAAAAAAGAAACTTAAAATGGATATTTTCCTTCTAGTCTAGCCGGCACTGTATATTTCGCTACTGTGTAGCTTATTATGGAAGGACTTTCACTTTCGGCTTTCTTCTCAAGCCTCAGCAGTCGCCATTTTAAACTTATATTTTCCGTTCAATTAGAAACACTTGTAAAATCATTAAAAATACTTGCGGTTTAGGGTCCCAGGTACAAGTCTCGCTCTCTTTAACTAAACCATCTGTTATTTTATTAGTTGGTCCGGTCTCGGCGCCTAGCTCTGCAAAAAGGCAGAGTCCTCCCGAAGCCTGGAGCAGGGGCGAGCGAAAATAGGGAGCCCCGCTCTGCTCGTCCCCAAGAGTAAAAAAAAAGCTCTGGGGACTTTGCAGAGGGCTCTACCTGCCCTCGCCTGCTCTGGCTCGCATTTCCATCAGGAAATGGAGTTTTTCGAGCCGCCTTTCAGATGTAAAGGCGGCTCTTTACAGGCAACGGGGCTGGCGGTCACAGAGGACCGTCTGGTGGCCCCCGTGCAGCATTCTTAATAACCATGTCACTCATTTCACAACTGCTTCTCTTCACCATGGTGACAAGATAGGGCAAAAAACGTAAAATGTTAGGGCAGTTGTAAGTTCGAGGACTGGTCAAAAGTGCGAGGACCAGTCAAAAATAACTTTTTCAGCCTTCTGAGTAGTCCATATGCACAAAAGGATTCAATTATTTCTTCAAAGTGCTGATGATTGCACCCTGGCTGGAAGAACTCCAACAGGGAAGTATTTCCTTCCAACAGCAGTGTAAAAAGCTTAAAACAACCCTTCCCCTTTAAGAAAGTCAAGCAAAAAAATAGCCTCCGGAACCGGAAGTGACAGTAAGTCACTTTGGTAGTACAGTGGTCTAAGGCACCCTGTTATTAAGCTGGTTATTAAGACCAGCTGCCTGCAATTACTGCAGGTTTGAATCTCGCCAAGGCTCAAGGTTGACTCAGCCTTCCATCCTTTCTAAGGTAGGTAAATTGAGGACCCAGTTGTGGGGGCAATAAGATGACTTTGTATAAATATACAAAAGAATGAAGGCTATTGCTTAGCGCATTGTAAGCCACCCTGAGTCTCCGGAGAAGGGCAGCATATAAATCTAAATTAAAAATAAATAAATAAATAAATAAAAAGTCTAGGCATACTGCTGGAGATGCAGTTTCTGTAATAAAGATTAGGCCAGGAAACAACACCAATTGTTGTAATTAATCCTTACAGGATTAACCCTGTAAAGTGGAAAAAAACAAAAGGAGATTTCTTTTAACAACCGGTTCTCCGAACTGCTTAACTACTTAACTACTTAACAACCGGTTCTACCGAAGTAGAATCCCACCACTGGGTCTACCCATTTATTTTTGCAGGCACCGGTCTACTCATTTGTTTTCTTTTAACACGGATCAGCTATAGGGCGGCCCTTTGAAGCCCCGCGGCAAGAGTTTAAACAGTTTTTTTCCCTCTAGCCATCAGTTGGGACTCAGGAAGCAGCAATAGATTGGGGGTGGGGCCAAATAAAAGGTAAGAATAACGCGGGGGGTGGGGGGCCAGAACCGGTTCGGTGATGTCATATCATCAACGCTACCGGCTCCGCCGAACCGGGCCGAACCGGGAGGAACCCACCACTGGAACAATAGCTCTCCAATAACCTCTAAAAAGAGAGGAAAAGCAGTTTGTCTATAGCCAATTCCACTCAGCAAAGTAAATTAAGCATAGGGTAATTCAGATCCAGTCTGTCTCCTTTTTCTTCTTACTATGCAGTTTTCCAGTCATACATTTGCAGTTTATTTAATGTTTATTTAAATAATAAAGTTTTTATTTAATAAAAACTGAGGGCTTTTTACCTAAGGGTCATTATCCTACTGCCAATAATGTCAAGCTTATTATTAAATGTCAGTCTTTCTGACACCTAATTTCAAGAGGAAAGAAGAAATAATCTCCAGCCCAATTTCTGCTAGCTTCAGGAATACATCCATAGGGGGCCTGCTTTACCCAAGCACTAAATAATTATAAATATTAGAAAAACTTTAGCACTGGGCTAAACATTGGTTTCATGCAAGACATTCCTTATATTTTCCATCTGTTTCATTATATTTTTTCCCATTTAAGTTATTTCTGTCCTGTTTCATTTTTTTCCTCTATAGTTTAACTTTCATG